TATAACTATCATAACTTTTAATATTATATAAATTTTTTAACACAAGAATCATGTGTTCATGGATTTATAAATATATATTCCGACAAGTTAATGTATAAAGTACGAAAAATCTATGAATCAGGTTATGTTTGTACCTGTTTAAGGTGTCAACAAAAAGTAAAGCAGGTCAAAATGGATATTAACATAGCATTAGATGAACCTTTGACCAACAATAGTTGTGTGAAACTCGTAATTGAATTTCTAAAATATATTTTATATCAAAAACAACAAATACCATTTGCATGCGATTCATTAGCTCAACTACAAATGAAACCAACTGATAGAAATTTATCTTCTATAAAAACAGTGTTAAACTCTTTAAAAAACACGACAGAACAACTAAATTCGCAATTTGAGCTCGAAGGCTGCAAAATTAAAGAAATTGCTATACTTATTGGTGCCACAATAATAACACCAAAGTTGCATATTAGAGTTGAATTTCCATCTAATATTCTTAGTAGCCAAGAACATTTTGAATGCAAACATACTTCTAGAAAACCTCTCTTAAGCTTAATGAGGTAGGTAAAAAGATTTTCTTATATTTTATTTTATTATGTTTCAAAAAATATAACAAAATTTTTAGGTCAATGTTAGAGTGTTCAGAATTCCAAGATGCATTGAATTCACCATTGAATCCCACAAACACCTTTGTATTGATACAAAAAAGTGATAGTAATTCTATGTCAGAATTTTTTTTACCTAAGCCACAATATATACCTTCAAAGCACACTACAAATTATTTTGTATTAAAATTAAAATATAAGGATGAAATAAAAATAGATTGTAATTGTGCAGATATAGTGAAAATTTACAATGAAGAATCTGAAACATATACTAATGGTGAGGACATTGGATTCTTAAATAATTCAAGTGTAAATATTCCACATGCTCCTTATCAATGGTATCAATCTAAGGAAGTGATTAAAGGATTCAAATTTTTAAGATGACCATAAATTTATGAATAATATTATAGAAAATTGAAATAGCACATCTTTTATTAGTATAAAGTATATTATATTTTAATCATGATATAGAAGCTAGCTCCAAGTATTATATACATTATTTCTTGAAATCTTTTATGACAAACTGTTAATTATACAGAATATATTGATATATACATTGAAGTTTTATTGATTATGAATAAAATTGTTATATAACCAGTAAGTAGCTATATATTTTTACTTCTTTGTTTTTATATAATACAAATTTACATAAAAGTATATGTAATGCTTATACAAGAAATAAAAACTTTTTAAATAACAATATCACATTGAAACTATTCTGTTTTTACTTCATAGATTTTCACATTTAAAATCCTAAAATCATTGATCATTATTACTCTCCAAACTAGCAGTACTGATCCTCCTACCCAACTGAATACCATTATTGTTGAGAGAACCTTAAAAATAATTATGACATGAGCATTTTTCTTTTTTTTTTTTAATGTAGAGCAGTTAAAGTATGAAAATTTGTAAAATATAACCTGAAGATATGACAGTATCTTACACATATCACTTGCAACAAAGTTATGTATTTTCATATATGTTTTTATAATTTCACATTCACTGTAAATAAAGTATTATCAGAATAATATTTATAAACTATAGTTCAAATTTAATACCTTACATCCACTATTATTTGGTAAGTACTATACATTTCAAAAGCAACATCTTTTATGTTCCCACCAAACTCTTTATATCCTTGGATTAAATTATAATTTGCAGATACAGACATAATTGCAAAAATGAAGTTGAAACACATTGCAGGAAATACAATTCTCCATGGACCTTCATATCTACATATAAATATGATATTCATTCTTTTATTAACATTTGATTAATATGTATAATTACAAAATACTTGACTTGCATTGGTACATCATGTCCACCTTTTCCACACATGAAAAACAAAGTAAACCACACAACTCCAAATATACAAGATAAAAAACATGTGGTTAAATACATGTAACATGTATTTGTGTACTTGTAATGAACAATAATATATTTCAACCAGTTTAAGTTATGCATATATTGGTCATTAGTATAAATTGGTCCTAATTCCTCTTCTGACATTAAAACTGATGTTGCCCAAAGTGGGCATTTATTTGCAAAAATGCCTTCCTTTGAATTGTATAATAGAATAATTGAATTTACGTTTGGAATGTGATAAATAGTGAATAAAATAATTATTAATTATACCCAGAAGATGTAGAATAAAACACTGCTAGCGTATCCGCTAACCGCACCCAATAAATATAGAAACATCTGAACGTATTTCCACAATGAAGAAATTTCAGCTATATCGCGTTCGATAAGTTCCTGATATTCTTCCAAAAGTGACATTGAGAATACAAATGAAATTAACGAGCATACAAATTATAACTTGCAAATATTCTTTTTGAACATTATACCGGTGGTGAAAATGATTACGCGCCAAGCTTCATTCGTATAGAAAAACGTGAATCTGATTGGTCTATCGGGAGCAAACAAAATTCAAACGACGAGATGAGCAAATTTCAGGAATTGAAAGATCACTATTAAATTACGGTGTAAATTGTCATGATTTAAGAATGATTAAAATTGAATAAGAATACACTTCGTTGTTGCAACCCGAACGGTATAAATCGATCGAAGCGTTCAATGTCAATTGAAAACGACTTCGAAGTTAGATTTTCTAAATATTGTATATAGTAAATTCGATGAAACTTCGTAGTTTGAAGGAAGTGTTGCAGACTGATCGTGGGAGTTGGACCAAGAAACGGAGGAACGCGCGGACCGCGAACCGCCACAGTGTTGTCGACGAGAAGGATACACGAAGGCGAGAAATTCTTGTTTTTTTTTTTACATCCGAACATCGAAAATCACGAGGAAAACGATGGTGGATGCACGTTCTAAAGGGTCATCGAACGAATAAACTCAATTGCCGTGGACACGTAAACCATTCGTGGGTGAAGTGAAACACATGTGTCGGCCAAACCGTGTTTTCTACTATAGAGTGCCCGTCCCGTGTTTGATCCGTGAAAATCTTCCGTTTAGAAAGCTAACTTGTACGCTAGTCACAGTAATTTGCGGAAAATCAACGTGCTTGGTTTTGAATACGTCTATTAACGTGATGAGCCGCTTTTTCGAAATGAAATAGAACTCATTGCAAAAGGCGGCAGTGCGTGGGTGGGTGGGTGTCTAGCGATTGCCACTCATGTATATAAAATTCCTTTTGGAATTTTGTACAAAATGTTACTATCGGACCAATGATAGTGTGCTTTTTTATTCACTGTTATTCCGTTCAATTGATACATATTAATTGACACATTATTCAGACAAATCTATTTGGGCATAAGAAAAAAAATATCAGTTAAATTTCAAAGCAACGCTGCTCTCACTGTCAATTTTTGACTAATGTCAATTTGACAGCTTTAAACAAATAAGATCAATGTGATTATGTCTCTCTGTTGTTATCAACTTTCTTGGTTCTAAAAAAAGCCTGCATATTGACACTACATATTGATACTATTGACACTGTTGTTGAAAATCTTCTTTTGTATAACCAATTTATCTTTTGGTTGTGTCTGATACTTTAAGTTTTGTCAAGTTTTTTTTGTAAAAGATGTTTTCCTTAAACTGTGAAATAAATATACTTTAGCAAGTTTGAATCAGTTATTGTTCACAGCTTTAAGAGAAGGACCTTTTTAAGGTCCTGCCTCTTTCATTAAACTGATATTAAGAGGCTAAAGTATGAAAGGTCAAGCGGAGAAAAATGGATATCGGTAAAGTATCAGCATGCGTGAGAAGCCAGCAGAATGTCATGCTCACGCAGGTCACGTGAGGGGCACAACAGAAATGTGCTCACGTGATCCTCCTACATTGCACTCAACCCTTACCAAGGCAAATGGTAAAAATTCAAACCCCCAATCAACTCATCATTCAGAAACATGTATCGATAACACTTTACTTCCAACTCCTGGTGGACGGTTAAAATTTTTTAAAGACGGAAAGTTTATTTTGGAACTATCCCACCGTAGGGATGGAGAAAGAACTACATGGTTTCCAGTCCCAAAGAAAACATTTTGGCCACCAGCCAGCACAACTCCAAATAGGCAAGAGAGTTCTACCTCTCTTAGTGGTAAGTTCAATGATAATATTTTGCAAAATTAAATAAATCTAACTTTTTATATTTACATTTCCAGTTTCCGACGATAATTCATCGGTTCAGTCAAGTCCCTGGCAAAGAGATCATTGTTGGAAACAAGCAAATCCAAGGCGTAGGATATCTACAGAGTTTAATTTTTATTACTATAGAAATCCAAGAAATCGTCTGTGCGCGAATCCTCGTTTAATCGCAAGAAAGCGTAGACGTCCATTAGATCCTACTTCTCTGCTACTTGTTCCAGAATCAATAACAAATTATACTAAGCCAATACGTAAAGCAAATGGTACATCAACAGGGAAGGTTCTAAACCTTATTATCGACAAATTAGCACGTCTTTTAGATCCTAATGTCGTTTCACCCCGTAAACGTATTTTGCGTGTTTTTAGAAGATCAAGCGTCCAAGAGACGCGCAACTCCACAGCCTGTTTGTACAACAACGGCTCCTACTCCATCGCCAAAACAATTATCTTCATACAGCATAACTAGTATCTTGGGAGAAGATAAACCGAGCCATGAACAAGGCTTCTTAAGGAATTTATTAAAACCAGATGACAGACAAACTGTGAAATACTCATCAAGTAACTCGTATCCAAGAGTACGAATGGATCCATACATTGGTACAGCTAACACACCTCTTCAGCACCCACTTTATGGTGTACCAATGTTACCTCCTGCGCCATATAGAGCTCCCTTATGGATGCATTATCCATCACCCGTCCATTATCCACCTCCTATGCCATTATATGCACCACCACCACCTCATCCTCCATCTCCTCCAGTTCATCATTACAAAGACTACAGGGAACAAACTCTCACACCTCCTTCAGGTAAATTTTTAAAAATTTATAATTTTTATATTATTTAATGTAAGAAATAAAATCAATTCAATTTATTTTCTTTCAGATATGCCTCTAAATCTGTCGAAGCATGCGGGTTGAATCTCAGGATCCTAAAAGTTGGTGCCTTATCAATGGACAAAACTGCGCAAACACTGCCCGTGCAACGACAATGCGATATATTAGTATTTTTTTATTCGTAAACAGTAGTATCATAGTAAGTAGAAATATGCAACCAGAAGGACAAAGTCTGGGTGCTATTCTTGTACATACAAATGCATAAACTATCGAAGTTGGCATAGGTATTTTATATTAATATTAAATTAAATCATGAGTAGTATTATGCAATTTAATTGTAATTAATATTATGTATGTATTACATAATCTTTTATCATATATATGCTCATCGATTTTTTTACTTTGGTTAATTACTGAAAGAGTACTTGGCCACAACTTTTTCGCTATACGAAACGCATAAATGTGTTCACATTTTACGATTATTAAATTTGATTTTCGTTCATTAATAATGCTTGCTACTCGTGATTCGAATACCACTGTAAAAAAGAGAGCATGCTCATCTTGCGCATCTCACTTATGCATTATCTTGTTATTCTTATTAATGTTACTGTCATTATTATCATTAATAAATGATACGACTATCCACTTTAAAAGATTCATAAGAAAGACATAGAATTATGTACAGAACAGATTATTACCTATATTTAGTATAAATATTCCTACGAACAGTAATATGATAATAAATCTAGGTTAATAGCATCCACAACAGTATACATTTATTTATATAATATTAATGAACAAGAAACAAAAATTGCTTGGTAAAGACCGTGTGGTGTGCCTTAAAAGATTACCTAAATTGCAACAAACTAAATTATAAACATTTTCATGAATATGTATTATTATTACTACTATTACTACTGTGTATATATGAATATAATTTTGCGTTACGTATTTGCATCAAATCGACATATTCGTCACTATTTATTGTTAGTCAGACGCATTACCAAACGTTTTACGCGAAAGGCAAGCTCACACAGGCTCTACAAACTAGTGAGTAATTTTAATTATTCATTTACATACATTTTTTATTAATTGAAACAGATGAAATATGTGACTGCGCGTAAGCAATTGTATAGAAAGACTAATTTCGTAAATATATAAATATTTCACATACTATACGAGAGCTTTTTATTTATCGTCACGTTACATGTTTTTCTATGTTTATTCGGTTCTACATAAGATATTTTCTGTTGTAAATATATTTAAATTCAAAGTAAACTTATATTTATTCAATAAAAGTAATTATCCTCCCTATACATAGCCCTTATCGTGAAAGAAATAACAAATCTTGACACTGAATATGAGAATATTACATACAAAATGCAAGAAAGAATTTAAAATTCGCGGGTATGTCGGAGAGTGCGCCAAAAATTGGCATTGCATCGTTCAGCTACCCCCACTCCTCAGTGAGGTAACGCAGACGCTCTCGAGACCGCGCAATCGTCGGGTCTTGGTAGTATCCGACCCGTGGCCTTGTTTTGTGGTATTCGTTGACCGGGTTGTATCGCTCCGATCGCGTGTTTTCTATCGAAAATTCGCCGAACTAGATTCCCTTAGTGTAGTAGAACGAA